TCACGGGGCGCTGCTACCGTGGCAGCCCATCACTCCACTGTCTCTCTCCCTGTTGCATGTCCACAAGTGCATGAAGTGTGTATTTCAGCCTGTGTGTGTGAAAAAACAATTTCTCCCTAGGGGATCAATAAAGTATATCTTCTTCTTCTTCTTCTTCTTCTTCTTCTTCAACCTGCTGTCTCCATCTGGGCGGGGCCGAGAAGCGCCCACGTCAGGAAACCGGACGTCCTCCTCTTACGGTGACACTGCGCATGCGTATGCCTCTTGCGTCTTCGACCTCTACTACAAACGGTGAGAGCTAACCTCCTCTGTCACAAACGGTGCTCCTGTTAAACATATAAACGGGACATCTGTGCGTAACTCGGCGTCTTTGTAGCTCTTTCGACCACAGCACTGCAGAAGTCGTCTGTTTTATTTCGACTGGCTTGTTCTTTCAGCGACATTGTTCGGCTTGCAGCTAATCTTGACCTTACTTGTGTGTGTCCATTTCACTTTGCACACTTTGTACTTTACTTTGCAGCGAGCCAGATGCCGTGTCAGCTAACTTAAGGTGTCCGTTGTTGTGTCTCTCGTATTGTTTTTGTTACAGATCGCAGACACTGTATCAACGCCGGCTCCTTTGGTTGACCTGACCGCTAAGTCTCTTCGTAATGTATGCCTGTGCTAAGTTCGTCTCCACGCCCTCTCTGGTGAGTCTAACGTGAATGAATGGAGATAGCAGTTACATGTACTTGGCCTGTGTGCTGTAGTTTGAAGAAACTGTCATTCTGTGTTCAGGACAAACAACCAGCTGCTATATTGTAGCCTGCTAACACTGGCAGGCAGCTGTGTAGCCGTGTGTGACCCTCTGCCAAAGTCAGCCGGTGTTCACACATTGCAAGGGCGTCCTAGCTTTGAACAGTATCAGGGCAAAACTCAATATGTGCATTAAATCCACGTGTGAAACAGTTTATCCACCCTTTAAAGTTAATATAATCTAAATAATGAATGTAATATTGAGAAGCAGCAATATTCCAAGATGAAAACTGAGCTGTTTGAGCAGAATTAATCCACTATAATAGGTCTCTGTTGGTCTAACTACTGCTGGATTTTAGCTATAGTTTGCCAAATCTACTACAAGCTGAATGTCACTGTAGGTGAGGTGGCATGCAAATTTAAAGATACACAGACAGATGTTCACTCCAGACTCAAAATGTGTCTTTTTTTTTTTTCTTTTCTTGACACAGGTCCGTGCTGGATCTCGGGCTCTGTACAGACCACTCTCTGCAGCAGTAGTCTCAGATGCCAGGAAAGCAGAGGTAAGCTGCTATATGTACTGATACTTATGTCTGATTTTATTGATTGTGATTGTCCACAGAGAGGCACTTTGAAGCTATCTCAACTCCATTAATCTCATTTGCTGTTCTCATTACCTCATTTCTCACATCCAAAAAGTGACTCGAATAATAAAAGATCTGTACATTTTATGTAATTTAACAGATATATATATCTGTGAAACTTCCTAATGCATTTTAAGTACATATAAAATGTATAATTTTTTTATCTTGCCCACAGCTCATGAAATAATAAACAAGATTCAAGATAGGGCTGGCAATATGGCCTGAAATACCATGTTAACAATTTGAATCATTTTTATTTTTCATAAAAACAAATGACACCATATCTTTGATTATGTGACTCCCAACTGCATCTGTAATGTCCTGGTGTGCTTTCTTCTCATATGGAATAACATGGGCAAATTATTCTGCATGCTTTGTGTAGATGAGTGACTTGGGGCTTGTTTTACAGAATCCTTCGCAGCTTTATACCGCCGCATTATAACAAATATCACTAATAGCATCTTTAATATCGTAATATAATGTAAAAACAAAAACAAAACAACATGTTGGTGCTACTTTGTTTTGTACCAACCTGACTTTATTTCTGTATTTCAGACTGCTTCACTCCTGGCGCCACAGAGTATTGTAGCCTCCCAGCAGCAGGTGGCAGTGCGGGGGTTCCAGACTAGTGCTGTGAGCCGTGACATCGACACTGCTGCAAAGTTCATTGGAGCAGGAGCTGCCACTGTGGGAGTGGCTGGATCTGGAGCTGGAATTGGAACGGTGTTCGGTAGCCTTATTATCGGATATGCCAGGTAAATTAAACACATCATCTGTCATTTTAGAACTATTTGTATTTATCTTCCAAGGAGGGAATGTTGCCCATCATGGTCTATCAGCGCTGTCAGAAAAACCTCTCAGTTAATCTGTTTAGTTTGTTGGAAAGATGATTTTAAAGTTGTGGTTCTTCTTCATTAGATGGTTGTTTTTTAATAGCAATAGCCATTAAACTAACAGGCTTGATTCCAAATGTTTACATGGTCAATAAATTATTAATTTACATTTAAATGAATGGGTGTAAAAATGTATTAAGAGAATTATTTAACATTTTCAAGGGTTTATGCTGCTTTTATGCCTTACAATTATTAATAAAATGATTTGGTCACAAGTATTAAGTCCTTAACGGGGAACCTTGGAAGATGTTAGGATTGTCTGCTCATTGAAATGTCTTGGCAGTTGTACATTTAACACTTTATACCTCCAGTTTGTCTCAGCTGCCTCTCTCTTTCTCAACAGGAACCCATCTCTGAAGCAGCAGCTGTTCTCTTACGCCATCTTGGGCTTCGCTCTGTCTGAAGCTATGGGTCTTTTCTGTTTGATGGTTGCATTCCTTATTCTGTTTGCCATGTAAACCAGTGAGCATTTACTGTAAAGGGATACATCACAATGTTAACAAGACTGTGCAGTTTAAGGTTCCCTTGAATTGTACAATG